GTCACTTGCCTTTCTGTCTCCATTGCCAGAATTTTCAAGAGCGAGGTCGCTGTGGCTACAGGGCGCCACCGTGCCACGGTCTACCTTGACCTCACTACCTTCTACGAAACGCTTGCCCACTCAAGGCTCATTGCCTCGGCACAGGAGCTGGCATTCCCGGCGAGCCTGCTGAACATCGCTATTCAGATATACCGTGGCGCACGCATCATTGATGCCGAGGGCACAATGAGCCCTGTTTCGTACACGGGATGCGGCGTTGTTGCAGGATGCCCTGTTGCTCCTGCCTTGAGTAAGCTCGCACTTTACAGGCCTTGTAGGGCTGTGCAGAATACTAGCCTTTTGGCAGGGCTAGACACTTGGATAGATGATGTGTCGATTGACGCAGAGGATGCAGATGCGCAGCGCGCGGCCCAAAAAATTGTGGCTCTATACAGAACCATCAGAGAAGAGATTGGCAATGCTGAACTGTTGATAAGCGCGTCCAAATCTGCTTTCGTTTGTACGAATCGGCACACACAGCATCGTCTGAAGCAGCTTCTGCTTCCAGGTGAGCCGCCAGTTCTGCATCTTGTCAAAGATTTAGGAGTGGACTCGGCGGGAGCTCGTAGACGCCGAGTTGCCACCAGTAACGCACGCATCTCCAAGGCTGCGTGCAGGAGTGGCAAACTCACGCGGCTCCGTATTCCCAACCCCAAGAAACGAGCCCAGATCGCGGCGACCGGTGTGGAGACCGCGGCGACATTCGGCCACCAAGGGCAGGGAATTTCGCCGAAGCGCATGAAAGTGCTCAGAGCAATCGCTGGAGGGCATTATGGGAAGCTGTCCTTTGGCTCTCTCGACCTAATCTTTGACTTGTCCCATGTCGGTTCGGGGGACCCCCTGCACAAGATTGTTCTTGAACACTGGGCCATGCTAAGAGAGTGCGTCGTGAGAAACCTCCCCGCTGCTGAGCTTGTTCGGCGGACTTGGGCGGTGTCCTGGGCTAAGATCTCACGCAGCCCGCAAAGGTGGACCATTGCAACCGGTCCAATCGGTGCAATGCAATGTTACTTGCTCGACATGGGTTTCGAAGCCCCCACGATGGACATCTGGAAGCGCGCAGATGGTGACATTGCTTTGAACTGGGGATCTCCCAGCGCAGGAAAGGAAGTAGGCTTCCTACTTCAAAAAGCCCTGCTTAAGGACAGGTGGGAGCGCATCGCCCTACAAGAAAATGCAGGAGGAGCGCAGGAAGGTATTGACTGGACGGTCCCACGCCAACTACTCAGAGAGTCGGCAAAGAGACCACTGGTCCAGTCGGGCTTGCGTATGTTGTTCCAAGGAGCGGTACGCCGGGCCAACCATGGTGGTGACGCCTTTTGCTGCAGGTGTGGTTTGCCAAACACCCTTCAGCATGTGTTGCACGACTGCATTAGGTGGGCACAGGTGGACATAGGACCAGATCCGGTCTGGAAGACACTTTACCCAGATGCACCTGAGTGCTTTGGTGTGCGGGGAATGGTTCCCAAGCAGTCCACTATGCACCCTGCTCTCGCTCTTAGCCAGATGGCGGTGCGCAAGGAAGGCATTTTCACAGGTGAGTTTCTCCCTGGGGAAGCCATCTTTTTCGGTACCGACGCCTCTGGTGGCCCTAGAGGACTGGATGCAAGACTCAGAGTGGTATCGTGGGCTGTGATTGCTGTCAGCATTCAAGGAGAGCCACATGCTTTGTCGCCGCCTGATTACAAAATCGTTGGAAAAATGACTGGCACTTTG